CACCATTCATCCCAAGGGTGAAGAGAAGGACCATCTGGACACCCAGCCATAGTGGCCCAGGATAGGGGAAACTGCAGGGTGCCGGTGCACTGGCAGGCCATCAGTGCAATGCTAGTTTCTGCTCCCTTAATCCGTGCCCTAGCAGTGCTGGCTGGTGTGTCCACCAAGCCAGGGGTGTTGCCAACATGCCCCGAGAGGAGCTCAGGGACATGTAGCCTGACTTGCGATGACTCGTTTTTATAGATAGGCTCGCTCACTGGATCGAGCAGAACGTGGGCTTTGGAGGCTGAACAATGTAGGTTTTATTCCTGGCTGTGCCGCTCACAAGCTGAAACTTGGAGAAAAGACTTCCATCTCTTTGGACCTCAGCTTCCTAATCTGTAAAATAGGAGCTTATCATGCCTACCAGGAGGACTCTCCATCTCTTCACCTTCCCATCCCATAAAGTGCCTCAGTCTCTGTAGGGACCCCCTTGGGTGCTCTTTCCATAGCCACCATCTGAGATTGGATTGTCTGGAGCTTGGACTCTGGAGCCAGCCCCTAGCTGCATGTCTTCTATGGCTGTTCCATGGCTCAGTTCCTCCAGCTGTCATGCGGGGTCCTAACTGAGCCAGCTGCACGGCCTCTCCCCCTGTGTCCTCCTGTGTAGACACGATGTTCCAGCCGCTCTGCACTCTGCCTGCCCCTGGTTTTTGCTCAGCCTGCATTCTGCCTGTAGTGCTCTGCCCAACCACCTTGTCCATCAGCTTCCTTTTGCTTCTCGAAATCTTGGTGCAAACACCCCTCACAAAAATTCTGTCTCCACCCTGATCCTGGTCCTGTGAGCCCCAGAGATCCCTGTAGGCTTTGCATTTCTTTTCCTGGTCTTCCCTTTGAATCTGAATAGGTACCTTTGATTCAGTCGGGATATAGTACTCATGGGTTCAATGAAAGTGAGGTCCTCCTACAAATTAATTTATTTCTTCTAAACAAGTGGCCCTTATGACAGTTCTTTATGATTGAATATCTCTTTATAGTAGAGAAGCCCAATATCCAAACTCCCCCTCAGAACTGCTCTAGAGAAGGCAGTATCTTGTTAGCCCATTTTACAGATGGAGCAAATGAATATTGGAGACATTTCCATATCTTGCTCAAGGTTTACATGACAAACAGGTAAGGGTCCAAGACTTGATTCTATCCCGAATTTTCTGGCTTCCAGACCTCCTCTGCTTCTCCCTTGGCTCAGATGTGGACAAGATGAACATCCCAGGTAGACTAAAAGCTCTTGCCCTCAACACCTGTTGAGAAGCCTGAGGCCCACTGGCCTCTTTTGACTCAGCGTGGAGTAGTCCCTTATCTCCAGGGCTGCTGAGTGAATTTGAGTGCAAAAATAGTACCCCAGAAAATAGGTAGTGGCCCTGGGGTACTAGCCCTAGGGGGCAGTACAATTTAACAGTTTGCAGACACACAGCCCAGGCTCTCTCTCCTCCTCCCTGTGCCATATGCCTTATCTGGACCGAATGGCGTAATGTTTGTAAGTCCTACAGCACAGGGCCTGGGGCCCGGGATGCCTGGTAACCAGGAGTTAGCATTAATAGTCAACATTTATGGAGGATTTACTTTGGACCAGGCACCCTATTGAGTTATTTCCATGTTTATCTCATTTATTCCTGTCCACAATCCCTTGCCATCAAATTATTCTCTTTTTTTTTTTTTTTACAGATGAGACAAAGGAGGCTTAATATGTCACATAGTTGCCAAATGTCACAGATATTTTCAGTCTCACCACAAGGGGTGAGGCCGTGTCTGCTTATTCATGGACCCCCAGCTTCGTACACCTGGTAGTGTCCCACACTTGGTAGAGTCAATAGACAGAAACTGGTAATATTACTGTGGTGCAGCCACCAAATTAGGGTGGCAGCTCCTACATGCTTCGCCTGCCAGTGCAGGTTAGAGGTCTGAGGTCGGGGAAGTGTTGCTAGGAGTGTGATATAGACGACGGTGGAGGCCTGCACTGGGTTGTGGCCCGGCAAGACCATGGAGCTGGGGAAGAGAAGAAATCACCTTTCATCCCTGAGCACCTGGGCTGGAGGCAGAGCCCTGGGCCACTTGTGCCTACTGTGGTCCCCATGACGCCCTGATGGATGGGATCTGACAGAGCGGGCTCGTTCTCTCCCAGTACAGGGAATCCAACCCCCAGCCAGCTGGGAACCGAGTCCAGGTGAGCTGCCGGCCTCAGGCAATGACAGACACTTTGTGCAAGCAATGCCTCCTCCCTGGGGCTCTACCTCCCTGGGCAGTCCTCCGAAATAAATGACAGCATGATGCTCAGAGCCACTGAGGCCTACAGAAGCTGTCTGCCCAGGGCGGCCCTAACTGTGGCCTCCAGAGCCAGCCTGCCCCAATGCCACGCTCACATCAGCTCAGGAGGGGTAAGGGGAGGACTGAGAGATGGTGGCTGTTGGTGGTCCAGATACAACACTGCACTGAAGGAGGGCTGTTCTGGGATTGGGTCCATTTCCTCAGCCTTCCCCCCATCATGCAATGACACACTTCTTCCTCCATCTTACAGAGGCTAAAGCTGGAGGAAACTCAGGATTGTTTAGTATAGCACACTCACCAGTTGCCAAGAGATACCTTGGTGTGAATTTGAAGTAGTACTTTCTCTGGGTGGACACATTCCATGGGCTTGGACAGGAGAGGATGTCTTTGGGACATGTGAACAAGATACCCTCTCTTAAGGGATGCAATCCTGTGGTGAGAGCAGAGTGTGGGGACTTCAGTCCTTTCTCTTCCCCTTGACCAGGTGCTCTTGCAGTGTGCAACCTCCACAACCACACAAGCCACTCTGTTAAACCAAAGCCCAGAGAGGAGTCCAAATCCTCCACATGGTCTACAAGGGATATGATTGCCCCCAGCCTTGAGTAATCCCCAGTCTCTCCTCCTACCTTTTTGTGGACATACTGGGTTCCTTTTGGAGTTTCTTGCTGCTTCCAGATCTTTTCATTGGCATCTCTCTCTCCCTGGAACATTCTTTCTATTCTGACTGGGCAAACTGCCACTCACCCTGTTGGTCTCAGTATAAATGCAACCTTCTCAGTGCAGCCTTCTCTGGCTTCTCAGAGAAGGTCAGAACCGGCTGTAGGGTTTCACGACAAAGGTATCTTTCTATGCAGTTGTCACGAGTTATTTGGGTACTCACCTCGCTCTCTCCATCCATGGACTGTGTAAGCTCTGTGGGTACTGGGCCTCTTGTGTTTACCACTGTGCCTCTAGTGTGTGAAGCAGTGCCGGGCATGTGGTATACACTCGATAAATATCTGTTGCATAACTGAAAGGCTTTTCTTTGATGGCTTCCTGGTCCTATAGGAAGCTTAGGGCAATTTGGAAATAGGAGGTTTGAAAGAGCCACTTTCCCCATGGTTAAAATTCTCCTGTGGGCATCTTGCATCTGATGTAGCTCTTTTATCCACTCTTTACTCCCCCAAAGGGGCCACAGGTCAGTTCCCAGCTCCAGCTTGCACTGTCTCCATCTTTCCCATGATCCCTTGCACTGGCCCACTCAACAGTGTCCTGCAAAATGGGTGCTACCTCAACTTTTATATTTAAGTGGAAATTGATCTTGTTCCCAGCAGATTTATTTTCAGCCCTGGGCTTGTGGTCCAGTGTTAATTTACATGCTAAACTCTGCCCTCTGGAGAGCTGCATGTCTTAGGTGATGTCCTGAAACAAGGGACTTGTCTCCCTGATCCCTTCTCATCTCCCCTTGGGAATCAATGGGGCTCGCCTATGCCAAATGCAAGGATCAGACCTGGGATTCCAGGTACCTTCCCAGTGACTGAGACCTGTCTGAGGAGCACATCCCATTCTTACCCTTTCTTCTAAATTCATCAAAGCTTCATCTTGCATTGTTATTGTTATTATTATTTGTAATTTATTCTTCCAAATAACATTTATTGAGCACATACTTGGTAAGTGCATTGTGCTAGTAACTGGAATTAAGGATGGGGTGAGGACTGGGATGCCAAAGTAAGTTCATCTTTCTTTTCCTCAAAGTTGCAATTCAGAGAAAAGAAAGGGATTTTCTGCTACTGATCAACATGCTAAGTGTCAAGTAGGATTTTCAGGGAGAGTGGGGGCTAGTTAATTTACCTAAAGACTTGCTAAACATTTATGGCCACACCGTTGTTGTAGGCATCCACACACTAAAGTGTTCAAGCAGGAGTGAAGGACTAATTGACAGGATAAAAATTATATTTATTGATCAGTTACCATGTGCCAGATACCTTTCCAAGCATTTTACAACTATTTACTCATGAATCCTCCTACCTCTATGGGGTGGATGCTATTCTAGAGCCTAAAACCATACCCAGAAGGGCGTGATGTTTGCACTGTGTCTCTGCAAGTTGATGGGAAGGGACATTTTAGGCAGAAGGAACTACACATGCAACAGTGTGGAGGCTAGCAGGTAGAGGATGAACCTATTCAATCTGGGCCTATTCAATTTGGCTAGAGCAGAGAGCTCACAAGAGAAAGAGGCAGAAAATGAGGTGGGAAAGAAAATCATCTCTGCCAGCCTGAAACACTTATGATTGTCTCTGATTCTTTCTGTACCATCTACCACTCTAAATAGACTGCAAGGGCCTAGAGGCGACAGTCCATGTTTCTGCTGTGGCCTTGCCACTGCCCTGTAGCTCCAGACCTAGAGTCATGTGGGCAGCAACCAAAAGAAGAGTCCAGGCCTGCCCAGACCAGTGGGCAGGGCCACCTACAACCAGAATGGATCTTCCCCACTTGAAGTGTGAAAGAAAGCATCTTGCACCTCCATCTAGTTACAGAGTAAGGAGTGGCCTCCCTCCTGGTTAATTTGCTCTGTGCCTTTATTGCCAGCAGAAGACAGATGACTCATGGAGGGTATTCCATACAGGCTGCCAGTGATTGTCTTTATGACTTCATGAGCCTTTTATGGTCCCCACTGGGAAAGGTGTTTTATTTTTCTTCTTTTCATTCTCCATTTTCAGTCGGTAAATAACCAACTTTCTGAGAGCCGAAGTTCATGCAATCCCAAGATAGGCCGTGACCATCAGAACGGAGGCAGAGTCAAAGTCAAGGGGAACAGAAGGAACCAGGACAAGGTGAGTCACCCAAGAGTCCATGAAGTGGGTAATCCCCAGCAGTGATTAATGTACACATCATCAAAGTTTAAAAATGAATAAATGTTTCTTTTCAGCAGATTTACTTTCTCAATGATGCTTGGCTTAGATTAATGATAATGTGAGTTTATGTTTCCAAAGTACACACAGACTGATCCACCTGGGGGGTTTGGGGGGGAGAGTAGTGGATGGGGGTTATGTGTGGGAGCCCAAAAAAATTGTTACATCGGAGGATGGCCACCAATACATCATATTTAACTCGTATCTGGTTTCTATACATATGAGAGGTATAACGGATACTCGTTTAAATAGATGAAGACCGTATTGCATTTCAGTAGGGCTCTGGAGCTGTCTAGTACCAGCTTGCAAAAACCAATTGTTAAATTTTCAGGAATTTTGTGAGCTGTTTTACATCATGTCAGCAGCCTGAAATCAGCCACAGTGGGATTTTTTGCATTGCGGTAATGTGCAAAACCTACAAAGCTGAGCTTCATTCCCCCTCCTGAATGGTTGCCAAACATTTATGGCCACACCATTGTTGCAGCCATCCACACAATGAAGTGTTCCAGCAAGAGTGAAGGACCACTTGGCAGGAGGTAACGATATTTACTGATCACTTACTATGTGCTAGGTACCTTTCCAAGCACTTTTTATCTATGTACTTAAGAATCCTCCCAACTCTACCGGGTAGATGCTGGTCTGGAACCTAAAGCCACACCCAGAAGGTGGAGACCTATAGCCAGAAGGGATTATTAGACTTTATCCCCATTCCCTTGTTTACAAATGAGAGAACTAGAGCCAGAGGGAGGATGTGGCTTGGTCAAGGCCAGTGACCTGGGGTCAGCACTGGTGATGGGTCACGTGACTCCTGGCCTGTGTCTACCTTTTGCTCTTGTTCCTCTATTATTCTGTGCCATAACCCTGTCTAGACCCAGGCAAGAGCTGAATTCAAAGGCCTGGGCTGACCAAAAGAGGCAGCCCCCCATCGGGAGCCTATGGACCGAGTCCGGGGGTCTGTTTGTGTTGTTCCGGCGCCTCTGTCTGCATGACTGGGGTTTGACTGCTCCCTGGTGCCCAAGCTCCAGCCAGAGAGCTGCCTTTCCTTCCACTCTGCCATCATCTGAGGATCCCACTGGAAGCAATTCAGACTTCACTGTTTCAGCAACCACCATCTGGAATAACAAGAAAAAATAAATAAAAATAAAACCCAAACTGGAGCTCTGCCGGTCAGCTCAGAGTCCTTGGTTAAGGGAGGAGGGGGAAACGCAGGTGGGCTGAAACTCTCTGGTAGCCAAATGATCAGCTTGGAGTATTCGTTGTTAACTGCGCGGGGGTTCAAGGTGAAACCAGTGTGGACCAGGGTTAGGAAAACAGCTCTCCCTGGGAGCTGAGGCTCTGCAACTTTCTTTGATGATTGCTTTTGGTGTGAAAAAAAGGTGGCCTGAGTCAAGAAAAAGAGACTCGAGATGAAAATCCCCTCAATTCTTAAATATATAGGTATATTCTAATGTCGAGCGCATTCTAATATGGTAAACATTTCAGTGTAGACTGTAGGATCAGGCAGTCCCAGGGCTGAGAGGGCCTCCAACAGCTTTCCCAGCCTCCAGGCATCAGTGGGTGCTGCTACCAGGCAGGGCGCAGTAGAGGAAAGCCAGGGGTTGTAGTGCGAGTGTGTCTCTGCCACCTGGCACAGATACACAAACCTCCCGAGGCTCTGTTTCTTAATAGGCTAAGTAGGCGGTTCAGGCTATAGGGTCCTTTCCAGCTCTAATATTCTAGATCCTAAATAAAAGGGAACATTTCAAAGCTGGAATTCACACACACACACACACACACACACTGACAAACAGGGAAAGCTTTCAAAAATCTCATTCAAATTATGGCTAGATTTGTCTATTAGTGAGATTTGTTTCTTTGCATGTGCTAATTGATCTTGGCATTAATTAATCTGATTTCATTATATTCTCTTTAATTTGTCAAGATATCATTTTGTTATTGGGTGACGGAACACTTTGGAGGATTGTTAGAATTGGAATATATATTTTCCCCCTTTTTAAAGTTCCTAGAGAAAAGTCATTATCAATTAAGTTAATTTGCATACACATTAGGTTAATCGTTTTAGTTTAGCCAAATTTGTGGAAATTTACATAGCAAATTGACCCTCCACATTTCACTTAAACATATGTAGCACACCGAGTAGTGCATTTTGAGTTGCTAATGAAACTGAGGTTATTTTACACGCTTCTTTTAGTAAAAGAGGTCTAATTAGACCAAGTAATTTTTTATTTCATCCGTAATTGCAAAACAAATAAGCTTCTTGGCATTTTTTTCCCCTAGCAGCAGCATCTCACGGACAGGGACGTTAATAGGGAAGTCATGTTTTCCTAATTAAGCCTGGTTTGATTCTTGCTCACTGTTCCGACGTCAGCCCTCTCTGCTTTCTCCTAGGTGCTCTGCTGCCAGAGTCGCTAAGCCTCCTGGTATACCTATTAATAGAAAACTCCCCCACATGGAGCCAACTGAATTAAAAAATGTAACTAGGAAGGCAGGGTGGGAATTTTGACAGATTTGTTTAAAAAAAATTTTTTTTTATGCCAGAGTGGAGAAAGTTGAATTCAAAAGGGGGTCTTGCTTTTTTCCATGAAGGGAAGAAAAGAGAGAAAAATAGCTTTTGTTCTCCCCCAGAAAAGAAGTTGGCATAACACATTGGTGGTGTTTCAAAAGTGACTCCAGGGGCTATCTTATTCAGTGTTGGAAAATTGGCTGCTGTCTCCCCATCTCGGATGGTGGAGCCGTACAGAGCTCATGGTCATGCCAGGGAATTGCAGTGGGATTTGGGATCTGAGCCTTTGTTGAGGGGAGACGGGGGAACTTGCCCAGACCTCTGTCTTGGAGGAAGTGGGAGTTGATGGTCCGGGTGTGTCGGGGAGACATTGGGGTAGCCCTAGGGACGCTGTGCTTCTATTGTTTCCCTCCTAGCTACACCAAGAAGACCTTGATCACTGTCTACTCCGCTTCATTTCTTGATTTTATCAGCTTGTTGAGCCTGGAATGGAAGTAGGTAAGGGAGATGTGGAAGGGATCAGAAAGGGGTGCCATGCCTTTTGCATAAAGCCAGGAGACTTGAGTTCCAGTCCTGGCTCACAACTTCAAAAAGTGGCCACAATCCTGCTCGTCTCCCTGTGTCCCCGAACTTTGCAATGTGACTTTACAGCTATCCTCATCAAGAGGTGGGGTCTACTTCCATCCTCTTTGAATCTGGACTCTCCTTTGATTTGCTTGGGCCAATCGAATGCCACAGAAGCGATGATGTGCTAGTTCCCAGACTGGTCCTCAAAGGACCTAACTACTTCTGTTGACTCTCGCAGAACCTGCTGGATGAGATGGTGAGAGGCATGTGGCCCAGTGGTCCCCATGGTCCAATTGACAGACAGTCAATCCCCAGAAGTAGTGCCATCTTGTTGACCTGCAGGTGGCCACAGACTGCATGAGGGATCCCAGATGAGCCCAGTTTAAATTTCCAATCCACAAACTGTGAGCTAAAGAAATGGTTGTTGCCTTTAGTCACTAAGTTTTGAAATGATTTGCTTAGCAGTCATAACTGATTCTGTCATTAACCACTGTGTGTCCTTGGGAAAATTCTTCTTTATACCTGAACTTTAGACTCCTCATCTGTAAAAGCAGTTGGGATTAGAGGATCTGAGTTTTCTCCCAACTTCGTAGATCTTCCAGTTACCGTCTTGCTTATCTAAGACAGCCTGACATTTTACTGTTAAGAACTCCAGGAAGGGCATTCTACTCTGTTACTGGGCCCTAGAACCCCAGGGAGATGAACTTATCAGTTCCTCACTAGGTGAGAAGAGGACATAACACGTGTAAGGAGAGAAGAGAGCATCTCTGTCTTGGGACAAAGAACAGAAGGAGGAAGCAGTGTTGGCCATGGAATGAGATATGAAGAGGTGGTACAGGGTGTATGTGTATGTGTGTGAACTTTTTGAAGATGAAGTTGCTGAGCTTCAGTGGAAAGGTGTACTTTGAAAAAATATGAGCCTGTTAACATCACCTATGGAGCAGTTTATGGCCCTGGAGCCTCATTAGGGTAGGGTACCCAAGTGCCAGGCATGGTGTACACAGTGACTTGGGAGGCTGAGGCAGGAGGATTACAATTCAGAGCCAGCCTCAGCAACTTAGTGAGGCTCTAAGCAACTTAGCAACACCATCTCAAAACTAAAACAAATAGTAAAAAAATTCTGGGGATGTAGCTCCATGTTTAAGCACCTCTGGGTTCAATCCCCAATCCCCCCCCCCCCGCCCCCTGCAAAAAAAAAAAAAAAAGATAGGGCATCCCAGCCTGTGGGCTGCAGTTCCAGCCATAAGCCCTCAGGGGCCAGGGCCACTGGGAATGCAGGTTACTACAGGAAGTGCCTAGCAGCCTTTAGTCTGAGTTATGTGCAATTCCTGGGGTGAGCTCTTAACCCCTTTATTTACCTTTCAAGAACATACCAAGGCTATCCATTGACAAATGGATAAAGAAAGCCTGGTCTCTCCATATAATGTGATATTATTTGGCCTTAAAAAGCAGTGAAGTACTGATCCGTGCTACAGTACGGATGAACCTTGACAACATTAAGCTAAGTGAAAGAAGCCAGTCACAAAAAGCCACACGCTATCTGATTCCATTCATATGAAAGTCCAGAAAAGGAAACTACAGAGATGGAAAGTACGGTGATTGCTTAGACCTCAGAGAGGGGCAATGAAGGGATAGGGGAGTCCTAACTAAGGGATATGGAGTTTCTTTTAGGGATGAGGAAAATGCTCTCAAATTTATTTGCTGTTATGGTTACATAACTCTGTGAATACATTACATTAAAAATCATCAAATTATACATTTTAAGTAGGTTAATTGTGTGATATGTAAATGATATCTCCATAGACCTGTTTTAAAAGTACACTTAGGAGCACAGTGATTAAGAATGAATGGTACAGTGCTCGGCTCACATAACCAGAACTTAATAACTGTGAAATGAATGAATGGACAGTGAGTAAATGAATGAATGCTAGTCTATGGTTCAAAGAATGTCAAGTAAGTTTTTTTTTTTTTTTTGATCAAGTAAGTTGTTTTTTTTTTTTTGTAAACTTTGAGCTTTTACTATTTGGAAAGTATTATACCTGTAGGTTCCATCCAACTCCTTTGGGTTGAATTTCTTCTAGAAACATCCACATTGTATGAAATTCCTGTTGCAGGGCTCACCTACTGGACTGGACCCCTGGATGTCAGGGAAGGCTCAAGACAGGTCTCAACATTCCCTGGTCTCTTAGAGGTCTGATAGCAAAGCTGACCTGGACTCTCCTCCGTCCTGGTCACACCTACACGTGGGCGCTCCGCCTTTCCCAGCAGTTCTTGCTCCTGTGGTCTCAGCATTCCTGTGTTTAAGCAAAAATTCAGTAGTTTCTCTTATTTTCTGATGCTTGAGTGAGCACAGCCCCTGGGGTCAAAAGTTTGAGCTGGGGCTGAGGCACTGCCCTTGACCTCAGGAGTCCAGGAATGTCTTGGTGGAGAGACTGGCACAGAGCCCTGGGCCAGGCAGGA